AAAAATACCGCCCTATTATAACAATATATTGTAGTTCACTGATCCTTACACTAGTGCTACAGTCCCTATCGAAGATCACCAACATCCCAATATATAACAATATATTGTAGTTCACTGATCCTTACACTAGTGCTACAGTCCCTATCGAAAATCACCAACATCCCAATATATAACAATATATTGTAGTTCACTGATCCTTACACTAGTGCTACAGTCCCTATCGAAGATCACCTACCTTTCAATATGTAACAATATATTTTAGTTCACTAATCCTTACACTAATGTTACAATACTTACCGAAGATCACCTACCTTCCAATATGTAACAATATATTTTAGTTCACTAATCCTTACACTAATGTTACAATACTTACCGAAGATCACCTACCTTCCAATATGTAACAATATATTTTAGTTCACTAATCCTTACACTAATGTTACAATACTTACCGAAGATCACCTACCTTCTAATATGTAACAATATATTGTAATTCACTAGTCCTTACACTAGTGTTACAATACCTATCAATATACAACAATACTATGACACTCTGATCCTTAGCCACAGTACGAAGTTCTGTCACTTCTTACTTTTACACCACTGCTGTACTTATATCATCATTATAATTAGATGTTCCTAAAATTACTTATTCATGGCTCATATTATTATCCAAGATAATAATCATTATCCATGTAGATTGCACTATGATCCCCTAGTGGCTCATAGACGTGCACCTTATATAATTGTCGCAAGTAAAAATGAAGCCGAACTGTTTCGTAACTTAATTTACTTTGTGCTGCTTTGCACATCAAAGGTTCGTGTATTAATTAGTTTCATGTAAAGTGTGGAGAGCTACCAAGTAGTTTCGTGGCCCGTAAGCTCTACCTTTTAATAGGGAAATATATCGATTCTGATATAGTAATGCTAAGTTTATTTAATCAGGTACCAGTACCTTGTCTAAATGTTAATGAAGTCAAATATCTCCATAAAATGGAAATAAAATGCACAGCCACCTTTTACCCGTTTCAATAATTAATATTTTAATAACGATATGAATAACGAATTAATATTTGAAGTAATCCACCACACGGCCATGATATAAAACACAGCTGCCAATGTCGAAGGAAATATCTACCTCGGGGTTTGTTAAATGGTTTCTGATAAATTACCAGTCAGGAATGGCAATGATAGGTTCCTAATGTACATGGATATTAAAATTTTATATTTCTCTTTTCATACTCAGTTCATTTCTGTCAAAACTAACACTTTTAAAGTTCTCCGGTGGGTCAGCGGTTAATTTACGCTAAAATATAGGGTTCGATTCCTTATTGTGTAGCTTTGCGCTAAAAAAATCAGCATTATGAAAATAAAATTACGCAAGCGATAGATTACTTAAAGGCCCGGCATGGCCTAAGTGGTTAGGGTGCTCGACTCGCAATCTATGGGTCGCGGGTTCGAATCCCCGTCACACCAAACATGCTCGCCCTTTCAGCCGTGGGGGTGTTATAATGTGACGGTCAATCCCACTATTCGTTGGTAAAAGTGTAATCTAAGAATTGACAGTGGGTGGTGATGACTAGCTGCCTTCCCTCTAGTCTTACTCTGTTAAATTAGGGACGGCGGGCGCAGATAGCCCTCGTGTAGCTTTGCGCGAAATCCATAACAAACAAACAGATTACTTAAAAAATAATTAGAAATTGGGCCAATCATATCACAATAATTAGAAATTGGGCCAATCATATCAACTGAATAAATATCAAGGAATTTGTTTGTTTGTTGTTAAGCGAAAACCTACACATTGCTGAAATTTCTTCTTGCTTTCAAACAAAAGTTTTCTGGGAGACGAAACGCAATAATAAAAGTTCAATTTCCTTCTCTTGCGTAATACACTTCCAACTAATAAGACACACAAATTTTATTTGATTATCACGGACTTTATGGACTTAACTTTGATTTTCACATACTTATATTTGACATATTTTACGATGTATAAATCTAGATAGACATCTAATTTACTTATTACAAGTTCCATTAATTTGTTTGTCCACACTAGTTTAATGCAGTGATTATAGTAACCCTTCTTAGGACTCTGGAAATAAGACTGACCATCTACAACCGTTTTAAGTGAGGTCATACGATAACACATTGCTAGATAGCTTAATGACCAATAATGAGCATATCTTTGCTTGTAAATATAGCATGGCAACCAACAAACCGGTTCGATACTAAAGTTTAAGAATGGTAACACTAAGTTACTTAACCGTGAAAAGTGTTTTCTAACAAGCGTGAAATAAGATTAATGAGAACGAGCAGTATATTAAGATGATAAACTAAATCCCTACACAGTGCCTTCTGATTGTCTCAGGAACTTACACTCGACAAGGGTTTCCTCATAATTCTATAGCGTACACAGTTTTTGTTGTAGAAAACCGTTACAGTAACATTAAAGCCCGACATGGCCAGGTGGATAAGGAGCTCGACTCGCAATCTGAGGGTCGCGGGTTCGAATCCCCGTCCCACCAAACATGCTCGCCCTTTCAGCCGTGGGGGCGTTATAATGTTGCGGTCAGTCCCACTATTCGTTGGTAAAAGAGTAGCCCAAGAGTTGGCGGTGGGTGGTGATGACTAGCTGCCTTCCCTCTAGTCTTACACTGCTAAATTAGGGACGGCTAGCGCATATAGCCCTCGTGTAGCTTTGCGCGAAATTCAAAAACAAACAATTAACAATAAAAACGTGTATATTGTTTCAACAATAGCTAAACGGCATAAAGACACTAGAGGAAAACAGTGTCACAGTATGTGTCACCCAAGAAATCAGAGTAACAAGTTTGTGTGCTGCTTCTATGTTTTAATCGTTGAACGCCTGGTATGACTATAACACTCGCACCGAGACACTATATTATGAGTGTATATTTCTTGTGTGACTTGAAATATGTTATGCCGTAGCATATCATATCATCTTTAACGCTGAAAGAAAAGACTTAGATTTAAAGGCTGTTGAGTAGGGCAAAACTATATAGTAACTATCTCCACTCTGTCCAACACGGGAATCGAATCGAACACCGCATTTTACCGCTGACCCACTGGGGATTAACTTTGAAATCAACATTTTATCTGTTCTTTCTGCTTAGGAAAACGTAAAGTACGAACTTTATTTCAATTCCAGTTTTTTCTCAAAAAGAAAAGTATCAATAAATGGAACTTGGAGAAAATGGATCGAAAGATGGCGTTCCTACACTGATTACTCACATGTGCAAGACAGAT